CAGAGGCGGCTTCGCCACAGGTCATATAGGCATCGCTGGCCAGTCGAGTACCTACAGACCCGGGGAGGGGCACGGTTTTCGTAACCCCCCAGCCGCCCCACCATCGAGGGTGGTGAGGGAGGAGGATCCAGCAAATCAGTTTCCGGCAGTAAAAAGGTGCCGTCCACGACCTGTTGAGCTCCTCATGCACCTCCGGGAAGAAAGGCACCGAGGCGGGGCGCTGAGAACCAGCGCGGACCACCCCGAGAACGCTGCTACCAGAGGGAACCCCAGATCTAGGCAGTGGCACGGGCACTCCGCCCCCTTGCAGGTAACGGAGTCTGGTCAGCAACTGCGAGATGGTCATACCCCTTTTTCCATGGGAGCATGAGTCATCCACGAAAGCCACCTCAGCGTGCTCAGAGGCAGCGATCGTGACCATCACCCGGCGTCAGGTAACGACCGCACCCAGAAACACACGGATGGTACGACATCTTTAAAAAGACGCGTCTTAGCTGGATGCAATAATCGCATGCCAATGTGCATTGGCTCGTTTAGTTTACACTCTAAGTGGATTGGTCCCTCTAAGCGAGATCCCATTTTCGTCGGTCAACCGACGTGACGTCGGGAGTGACCGACTGAAAGGGAACTAAATGCATTAGTTTTTAATATTTCTCAGTCTGAGTTAAATCTCTTTTTTGGCTCAAATCATCCGTAAAAGAAAATCTATTTTTTAATATTCTGCCTAACAATTCTGCACAGATTAATAAGGAGGTTTTTTTTTTATCTCCAGCCTTCATGTACAATTATATATCACTTCTAAATGATTAAATACTAAAATAATAGTAGTTATTAAGATTGATGTGGTTTGGAATTGGTAAAATGTGCTTGGAAAAAAATATGATCAGAATATCAATGTGCCTAATAATTATGCACACACTGTAAGATGTGCTCCCTTTACACAGAGTGTGCGAAATCGAAAGTGAAAGTGAACCGCAAGCGCTCATTCAAATGCGATTTCAATACCCCGCATATTAATAGCGGCTTCCTGATGTGCGAAAATAATATACACTATTAGAATGTTTGCAGGAGTGGGACACACACGTTGCAGGAGCGGGCAGTAATGGAACAACTTGAGGGTGAGTAAATGATTAAAAAAATTTCATTTTTGGCTGAACTATCCTTTAAGTAAAGGTATAATATTGCATATGTTGCGAGTTCGAGTCTCGTACCGGCAGGGATTGTAGGTGGGGGGACAGCGCTCTCTCCCACCTTCAATACCACGACTGAGGTGCCCTTGAGCCAACTGTCCAGCTGCTTGCTGGTGGAACATAAATGACTGCCCACTGCTCCAGGTGTGTGTTCACGGTGTGTGTTCACTGCTGCACATGTCACCTCACTTCACTTCACTTCACTTCACTTTGGGACACAGCTTTTGTGTGGAAGCATCTTTTGTTTCTTTTTCGCTTATGTTTTGGAAATTCTGTACAGATAATGTTTAATAGCGCCCCCTACAGTATAACAATGAAAACATGGATTCCCGGAGCACAACTATAGCTCAAATATATTTAGACTTTTAGTATAAGTCAAAGTATACTTCAATGGCATTGTAAGCACATTTCTGAGAAGTACATAAAAAGTAGACAAAGTATACTTTCATATTTTTTTTTGTATAAAAGAAGTATACTAATAGCACACTTGAATAAACTTCTTTTTCGTAAGGGAACACATGATAATACACTTTAATCACAAAGTTATCTATCATTGGGATACCAAGTGTACATTAACAGAAATTCAGCATTATAGAAATAAGCATATCAAATGTAGGCCTACACAAACTGTGCCAAAATTAGCATGATTATCTATAATGATGTCTCTAACAGTAAATGTATGAGAAAATAAGAAAAAATGGACAGCTCCAGACATGTTTAAAGTTCCTATTTAAAGACGTAATCCACAAGGTATTTTCTAACGCGACACCAGCATGACGTCTGTATAGATCAACAGCTACACGTTATTGACGTGTCTATGTGACGTGATAGTTGCATGTACATCTACATTTAAAACAAATGGAGACGGACACACACGTATACATGCATGTTATCTGTCGCAGAGATGTTCACAAGTCTTTAACCTGGAGTCCGAGTCAAGTCTGAAGTCTTTGGTCACGAGTCGAGTCTCGAGTCATTTAATGGCTCGCTAAAAAAAAATCCATTCAGATTCCTCATGTATTGAAAACTTCCTTTTTATGAAGCTGTTTTATAGGCTATAGACAAAATATATATATTCTATGATCTGCTTTGTAAAAAAAAAAAAAAAGAAGTGTTACGATGTAAAGTTATTGTACATCCAGTCTGTTATTTATAAGCTGTTTTAATCCATTACCATTTTAAAAAGTTTTTCTGTGATGAAATTCTATAATAGGTGTCCGATCTACCATGACACAAGGAAATATATGACACAGATATTACAAAAAAATAAAGTATTTCTTTATTATATAAGTCAGGGGTATTCAATTAAAGTTCCAATTCCTCGTAATCAAAACGTTCTCATCTTGAGCAGAAAAGAAAGATAACAATTTCAAAGTTTAAGTTCTATCCTAGCCTAACAACAATTTTCCCAATTATAATTACATGATTATTTTGAAATGTTCTTAGCCTACAGATTAATAATGCTAAATGCAGATCAGAAACATCTTGTCACATCTGGTTTGACCAGTCAGAGTCATAGGTTGTAGATAGATAAATAGATAAAATAGATCTATGAAAAATAACTATATTTGCAGCATTGTTGTTTTCTGTTGTTTTAGTGAAAGTAATCTATAATTTTGTGTTTCTGTTGTTGCTAAAATAACAGCGTCATCCGCAGCTCTTGAACTTGGCTCCGGTGCACGTCCGGAGAGAGAGAGAGAGAGAGAGAGAAGCGCGTTTGGCTCTTCATAAAAATGTATAGCGCTGAAATATATTTGCCTTTTGAATATCGGTTATACAAGTATTTAAGGATAAACTAGTCGAGCTGCTTTTAAAATATTCACAAGTCCTTTTCCTCGAGTCGAGTCAAGTCTGGAGTCATTTCAGGTCAAGTCTGAAGTCTATAAAAATGCGACTCGAGTGCGACTCAAGTCCGAGTCACTAACTCGAGTGCCCATCTCTGACCTCTCGTGCTTGTATCGTTGCCAAATGAACCATTCTGAGTGTCATAGCAACTGCTCTCCACTAAGTTAATGGGAAGGATCGGCGTATCATATGCACGCAAAAGTAGACCTTGGCGTGGACCAGCTCGAGTTACATTACATGCAATTGGAAAGTGTAAAGCCGTGTTATTCATTCGCAGACTAATGACAATGGGTTGAAATGTGTAGTGTTGGGTTGGAATCCAGGACCAGGATTAAGTCATGACCAAGAAACATACGGAGTCACAGTCAATGCAAGACCCTATTGAATGCAGATTATTTATCTACAATGGCAAAAAAAAAACACAATTATTATTTACACATTACAAATGTGTTTTGAGACCTGAACAGTCACTAGTAATAAAAGGCACATGCAAAGTCAATTTAAGTCAAACAGTCAAAAACAGTTAAAGGCTCAAAAAGTTTAAGATCAGTTAGCATCAGCCTAATATGAGTTGCCCCCGACTAACTACAACATGACCACGTTTTCAGAACTATAAACTATATATGTTACCTTATACTTTATGAATTGTGTAAATGTAGGTAAAAATTAAAGTAGATCTGAAAAACTACATTCAGTACCACGATGAATAAAATTATGCACATTGTAAAACCCAAGAATCAAATCCATCGAGGAAACCAATTTAACAACCAATGTATATGCACAATGCAAACTTAATTTATTACAGTGCACTCAAAAGCAATCAACATACCTTAGTCATAATTGTTGAAGCATCACCTGACACCAGTGGTGGCTGGTAGACATTTTTCTAGATAGGGCTGTGCCACATCCAACAATTTTAGCAAACATCCTTCATGATTTAATTCTGAACAGTTAAAGAAAATGTTTAAGTTAACAGAAGAAAAACAAAGCTTTCTAAATTTCTAAAGATTAAATTTGATACTATTACATTTTCACATTTTATGTATACAGCGCAACAGCAAAAACTGAGAAAAAAAAAAGTTAAATTTGTTAAATTTAGTTTAGTTAAATATACAAAATAACTGCAAGTCAAGCTGCAATACCAAACAGGACCACATGGAGATGACAAGAGACCACTATACTATATTAACCTGACTGCATATAGATATAGGCCTATATGAATTGAGATGAATCGAGATGAACTGTTGAATAAAATCTTTTTTCTTTTTCTTTTGCGCACAAAAAGTATTCTCGTAGCTTTGTAAAATTACGGTTGAACCCCTGATGACACATGGATTATTTTACCGATCTCCTTGCTACGTTTCTGGACGCTGATCGTGTAAGTACCATTGCTGTCTCAGGGAGGGTCAGAGAGCTCTCAGAATTCATCAAAAATATCTTAATTTGTGTTCTGAAGATGAACGGAGGTCTTACGGGTTTGGAACAACATGAGGGTGAGTAATTAATGACAGAATTTTCATTTTTGGGTGAACTATCCATTTAAAGTGGAACCCACTGGACATCACAAAAGCACGACAACACGGTGGATGGGATTAAAGGGGAAGCGACACGTCTTCCTAAGGTGTGTCACTAATTAAGGCCCCACTTACAACAATTGGTAGGAACTCCCGACTGGAACCATTGAGCATCGAACATGAATACTGACCAAAAGCAAACATTATATACAAGTACTAACACATTAAGTAATGTAAAATTTAAAAAATGTCCAATCAACCTGCTACACCCATATGAACATAAACACCACTGACCATCCAGTTCTGTGTACAAATAATTATAATTTTGTTTTTCATGATGCTAAGAGAACAGATTGTCTTGATTTACTGATTTAGTATGTTCTATAAAATGTAAATGAAAATATTAGATTTACAACAGCAAATAATTGTATTTAATTTATAATAAGGAATTCTATTGAAGCTTCTTATAAACGTTAGAAGGCAGTCTTTCTGCCTTTTTAACAACCTCTTTTGCATTCTCATAATTAACTTTAGCTGAAATCTTAATGGCATCAAGCACAGAATCGGCATCTTTTGCTGCTTTGTATCCTGCGATTCCTCCTCCAATCGCTCCTGCAAGAGCTGCAGCTCCAAATACCACACCTGCAGCGATTCCTGAACCAGCTGCTGCTCCAATGCCGGCGCCTGCAGCAACTCCTGTCTCCACTGCTACTGTTCCTGCTGCTGCTGCTGTTGCTCCGACTGCTGCTCCTGTGGTTCCTGCAGCAACTCCTGCCTCCACAGCTGCAACTCCTGCTGCTGCTGTGGCTCCTACTGCTCCTGCTGCTACTCCTGCCTCCACTGCTCCTGCCACTGCAGATACTGCTGCTGTTCCTACTGCTGCTGTTCCTCCTGCTGCTGCTGCCACTGCTGTTTTATCTGCCACTGTGCCTGCAGCAGTTACAGCTATGCCTATTGCTTTGACTACTTCTTTTAATTTGGCTGCCTTGAGTAAAGCCACAACCGAGGCCACAGCTACACCAATGCCCAGAAAAGCACCAATCAGTGTCCCGGTAGCTGCTCCTGCAAACCTAATAAGATATTTTTTAAGAACAATCTTCTTCGCTACTTCTCGTTTCTCTTCTGTAGACAAATTAACTATAAGCATACTATTCATCGTGTCTTGAATTTCTTCCTCTACATTTAACATCAGATCATTGGTGTAGCAGCCGTTCTCTTCCACCATCTTGTCGATGGTGTCCAGCAGATTTTTCACCTGAACCTTGTTGCTCCTGTACCCTAAATGACAGTCATTCCAGTGTTTATTGTCAATAACGTGACAGTGACCTCCACATTTATCAACAAGCTCCTGTAGTTTTGTACTTTTCTGAACAAATTCTTCAATTGTTTGACCATCTAGTTCTTCACCATAAGTGAATAAAACCACTGCATGTTTAAAGGCTTCCTCTCCACAATACTCAACAATTTTATCCAGAGTCTCTCTTTCTTGTCTTGTGTACCTTCCAACTTTTAGAACGATGACTAAGGCATCAACAGCTGGAGCGCATTCAATAATGGATTTAATGATCTGAGATTTGATGACTTCCTCCTCAAGACGCGTGTCAAAGATTCCAGGTGTGTCAATAACTGTGACTGTTCTTCCACCAACCATCGCAACTCCTGATTTACATTCAGCTGTAACAGACTCAGGTGAAGATTCAGTTTTGAATATTTGTTCACTGAGAATAGTATTTCCACAGCTGCTTTTGCCATGTCCTGTTGTTCCAAGAAGAACAATTTTTCTTGCAGGTTTAGACTCTATTTAAAAAAGACACTCTGGTTAGTGAAGAGTATTGTACTGATTAAAAAAAATAAATAAATAAACATGCATATTATATGCATACTATAAAACAGATTTGATTCTAGCCTTAATTTTATTAACATAAAAATATGTATTACCTCTCATTGTGCTTTTCTTTTGCTGAGCTGAATTTCTGCAATGTCAGAAATAATATTCAGGGCATTATTGGCAATGCTTAACATCCAGTCAAATATTTTATAAAGTGTAATGTAATTTGTCAGACAGACCCACTTTATATTAAGTGGCCTTAACAACTATGTACTTACATTTAAATTAATCATTTAGTACAGTGCACTTATTGTGTACATACATGTTTTTACATTGTACTTATATTTTAAAAATACCTGCATGTAATTACATCTGTATTTCATTTATTTAATTACATTTATAATTACACTGTTGACCCATCCCTTACACCTTAACCCACCCTTAAATCTACCCATACCACCAAACCTGTCCCTAACCTTACCCGTATCCCACCTCAATAAAAGTAAAAGTGTTTTGCAATACAATATGAACACAATAAGTTCATTGTACTTTTTTTTTTCTGTAAGTACATAGTAGTTAAGGCCACTTAATATAAAGTGGGACCAAAAAAAAAACACACTGCAAACTGCTGCGAACACAAATTCAGCACGCTGCTTACTGGAGCGCAGAGTGATTTAAAGGAGATTTCTAAATTTATGCTACATTCCCTGTTCATTATGGGGCCCAATGACATTGTATAACTGAAACAGGAATTTTCTGTAAAGTTGGTTTGAAATTATATGTATTGTGCAAAACTCTACAAATAACCTTTAATTGAATTGTGAGTCATTTGAAAATAAAGTCTGACTTATCTTAAAGTTCTAATTTAGAATTGAAGAGAGAGTTTGATTTCTCTTCAAAGTTATTATTATTATTTATTTTTACCACCGAGTTTGTAGTTTTGATTGTTTAGTTTTAAGAGATGCATATAGACCTTAGTTTCAAGAAATGTTAGCTAGAAATGAATGAGTAAATTGATTCACCCAAACACTAATCAAATTACTTCTAGTAATAAAAAAATATTGGGAGCTTAGGCAAAGCACACTTGGTGCCCCATAAAGTTTGCTGACAATCTTTTGGAATGCCGCTGCAGAATGCATTTGAATGCAAGTTTTCTGAAAATAAATAAAAATAAATAAATAAATCTTATAAAGTACAGGGGGTAAAGTACATGTTAACCTTACTTTCTGGAATACCTAGACACTTGGAAAAAGTAATCAACAACGTTAGAATAATAATAATTATAATAATAATAAATGCACTGTAAGTCGCTTTGGATAAAAGCATCTGCTTAATGCATAAATTTAAATTAAATTAAAAATTAAATTAAATTTCAATTTAAAACCTAAATTACATTTAAATAAATTAAATAAAAAAAAATAAAATAATAAATGCTTAAATACTAAAATGTTACTGTCATTGCAAGCATCTATGCAGATATTTACAAAATTCAAGAACTTTTAACCCCCTAGTAGGTTAGAAGGAAGAACAAAAGGAAGAGCTTTGAACCTTCTAGTAGACGTGTCTACAACTCTTCTGTTGCTGTTGCAGTCCAATAGACCCAGTCCTGGTGCAGTCAGGTGTCTGTTCCACACACTCAGAAATGGCGATTGAGCTTTGCTCTATTGACTTTTTATTAAAATAAGAATAAGAGAATAAACAAATAAAAAGAATAAAAGAAGCCACAGAAACTGAGGAGGGCAGAGGCTTCCTCTCACGCACATATACTGTACATAAATCATATATATACAGCTGCTTGTCCAATCATTTTGCTGTGTGTGCTGTTTCTTTTTTATCACTGGCTTTTTACACAACTGTAATGTGTATCTAGGTAGATCCAAAACTTATAAGCTGTATAAGCCATTATATGACAATCCAACACAATTTTCTTCAGCCTTCAGAGTGTGTAATTTATATGTGATTTATGCTGTGTCTTGTATGATGAGCTCTCTGCATTCTTTATGAATGAATGAATGAATGATGCATTTATATAGCGCTTTATTGTGTATGACAATTTACTTGCCAAATTTGTTTTTACCGGCCATGAAACTATTTTTACAAAAACAGGCAGTCATTACTACTACAATGACTAAATTATACGTATCGACGTACACCGTGAGTAACATGTATTTGATATAAATCCGAGATCGCTAATAAATCATCTTTGCGGCAGATATCCAACTGATGTACTGAAGGTTCGATCGCGAATTTATCTAATTCAAATTTTGAAGCCATTCCTAATTCCCTCCGCCTTAAAATGAAAAGCTCCAGGCAAACGAACAAACATGAATCCAATTTCATGAGTTTCGTATTGTCTCCCTCACGTGACGATGCAACTCCAATTCGTTTTGGGAAAACATTTTTTTTTTTTTAGACGAGCCCCCAATTTCTGTTATGACCTCTAGGGGTTAGCCGTAACAGAAAAAGAGATTGGAGTTCACACCAGAGAGACGCCAAATAAACAGTTGTATTTTCTTTTAATGGGAGTATCTTCAGGGGCAGACAAGGCCAAAACAATAAACAAAACAGACTTTTCTTTGACAACTAAATATCCTCAAACAGAAATAAAGAAAACAAAATATAGGCCAACTTCCCTACCGCCCTCAACCATAAACAAAGTGAAAAAAAGATACATATAAATAAAATGGCGTCTAACCCCCTACGTCCCTTCTTCCCTACCTCCCTCAACCATAAACAAAGTGAAAAAAGATACATATAAATAAAATGGCATCTAACCCAAACTAGTATTTACAAGTATATTTACAAAGTTATTTACAAAGTTTCAGGGCGTACACACAGCAGAATCAGAATCCAAATCGTAGTCAAGACAGGCAATCTTCAGATAAACAGGGGTTTTAGAATTTGATCTTACAATAACAAACACTAAACAGATTCAATCCACTCAGAATATCTCTCTCTCCGGTACAACACTTTTTCACAACCAAACGACAACGATTTCAAACAATAGCAGGAAACAGTTAATCCGAACGCTAGCGAAACATAACAGTACAAAGTCAACGAGGCACAAAGGCAAAAGACGAGTGTTTGGGGCCCTTATCTAGGTAGGGTGTCACCATCACCAATCACCATCTCCAGCTGGTTAACAGAGGCCACACAAACATGTCTACACACACGAGCAGAGATATCAAATACATACAAAAACAGTTCACAGATGCATAGACTATCTTAAGGTCATAACAACATTTACAATGATTTTAATTTGTCCTTTACTTTACTTACAAGAAAAAAAAAACAGATTTATTGATTTATATATATATTTTTTGTCCCTAAAAAACGTTGAGATTCTTGTTCGGCAAACAGAGCAGGCCATCGTGTTACACCCGTTTCACACATACTCAGTTTGCAGTGCGTATTTTTTTCCGCATCCATGTTAACAGATTAGAGCAGGGCTATATAATTAGCTTCATTTGAGGGCCGAATTATCAAACTTGCGTATGTGGTGCATATTTTTTTTCGCATCCATGTTAACAGATTAGAGCAGAGCGATATAATTAGCTTCATTTGAGGGCCGAATTGTCAAACTGTAAATTTGAAGGGGGCCAAGGGGGTGGGGGCCCTCTCCATCTCTTTCTGGGGGGACTTATAAAATTAGAAATTAAATTAAAATCAGAAATATTAGTGCTGTCTGTCAATCGATTAAAAAAATAATCACACATTTTTCTGTAATTAATCATGATTAATTGCATATTTATAGTCACAATTTCACATTGAACCTCCAAATTAATGTAGAAACAACATAAAGATAGTATATTTTAAATATGTTTAAATTGCATCTTTTTACTAGGCTAAGTTGAATGGTTTTAATGGTTAACAGCTGATGGTTTGTAATGTTTGTAATGGTATTTGTAGTATATTATTAATGAAGTATTGATACCAATACTGCTACTGGTGTCTCTATAAAATACTTTTTCCCTCAATTTTACCTATTAATTATAGCCATTCAACATTACAGTATAACTGAAAGCCATTATTTTATAACATTTAAAAGACTCTGAAATATTAAGTGATTTTAAAACAATCTTCACATAAATTATAAGTTGTATATAAATAAACTAAACAGCCTAATCTTTAATCAAGCAACAAAAGTTAATCAGCGACTAGAGCAGTCGAGTGATTTCTCTTTTTCATTTGTTCTTTGACTGACAGACTTCAGCAGGTTTTATTTTAAAAGCAGCGCAGCCTCTTTAAAACCTGATGCACATGATGTGGATCTGACACATATCTTCTCCAAACTCTTTTTACAGTCATTTAAGACTTTATAACTCAATTAAGACTACATTTATGAGGTTTCTCGCCAAAACCGCGTATTTTGACATTATTGTGTGTTTTCATCCATTGGGTGAGCTGTCTAAAGCAGCTCAGCGTCTGTGTAACAGCCGAACGAGCAACCTTTTAAACTATAGCCTACTTCACTGCACAGTTTCTGCGGCGTAACCCCAGGTATGTGTCGCCACATTCTCGGGTTATGAAGAATAAAGAAGGGAAACGTTAATCTTCCGAAATTAAGCAGCAAAATCTTCTCAGCTAAAAGTTATTAGAACAGTGATTGCTCTTACCTTATCAGCCTGTTTGTATCATATTATTTGATTCGCTCTTGTCGCTTATGAAAGAACAGCTAATCACGATGATCTTATGATCTATTATTTTATTCGCTTGCGTCAGAAACAGCGAATCTCTTTAAAAATGGGCTGTTGTTCCCACTACATTGCATTGCTATATTTCATAAAAGTTTTACCCGCCAACTGGCGACTGACACCGTTACATATATTCGCCAACACTGATTTTTACTCGCATTTGATGCTTGGCGAGTGTTAATTTTAGGCCCTGTATATATATACACTGAACAAAATTATAAACGCAACACTTTTGTTTTTGCCCCCATTTTTCATAAGCTGAACTCAAAGATCTAAGACTTTTTCTATGTACACAAAAGGCCTATTTCTCTCAAATATTGTTCACAAATCTGTCTAAATCTGTGTTAGTGAGCACTTCTC